CCTCGAAGATCTGACCCTGGCAGGGGTCACATGACCAGAGTCAGTCACAGGGGTCACATGATCAGCATCAATTAGTGCAGTGTTTTTCAACCACTGGTCCTCGGTACACTAGTGTGCCATTAGTGATGGTCAGGTGTGCCGTAGAAAATCATCCTATTTCACCTAATTGGTCTAAAAAGATTTTTTTGATAAGGAATTATCTGCAAATAATATGCCATTTTTGAGTGTCTGTGCTGTTCTAGTGACTGGTGGAGTAATCATGTAATAATTCCTTATGACTAGATTTAATATTTAATTTTATATATTGAAGTGGACATGTTAAGAGCAATTTGAAAGAATATAAAATATGATAAATACATTTTTTTGTTTATTTGAGTCCTATTCAAGACACTTAAGATAAGATAAGAATAAGATAGGAATAACTATAGTGTTATTATAGGCGGCTACAGATTTGTTTAACATTTTTGGTTGGTGTGCCTCGTGATTTTTTCGATGAAAAAATGTACCGTGGCTCAAAAAAGGTTGAAAAACACTGAGTTAGAGGTCACATGATCAGAATTCCAGAAGTCACAGGACCAGAATCAGTGCGGTCACATGACCAAAATGACTACCAGCGGTTACATGACCACAATCAATCAGAGAAGTCACATGACCAAAATGGCTTCCAGAGATCACAGCTTCCAGTCCGACCCCCTGACCAACCGGAGTCCCTCTCACCTGCACGTCGCCCGTCTGGAAGCTGTGATTGGCTGACAGGCAGAAAACCGCCTCACCTGATTGGCCGCTCCGTCCCCGTACAGCGTCACGCACACCTGGTCGGTGCCCTGGTACTGGCAGGCCAGAGCAATCCCCGCCCCCAGCGGCACCTGGACAGATATCCGGGTCAGCCCAACTGAGCAGAAGACGGGGGTGGATCCCGCCCTGTGCTCGCCATCATTTTCCCGCTTACCTGGGCGCCCACGATGCCGTTCCCGCCGTAGAAATGTGGCGCGTACATGTGCATGGAGCCTCCCTTCCCTTTGGCCACGCCCCCTTTGCGACCTGAGGAGAGGCAGGTGAAAGGTCAGGACGGACACACACACACACACATTCTTGTTAGTACATCAGACTGAGGACCAAGTAAAAGACTTACAAACTGAGGACCAGTACTTCTGAGCATCTTAGAAAGAGTGAGTTTTCAAATTTTCCCACTAGGTGTCACACACACAAACACAACCCCACACACACAATAAAGCGATGACCAGGAAAATGTCGTCACTTTCAAAAAAAGACCTCACTTTGTTGGTTAAAAACTAGTTATGGTTCTCACTGATGCAGGGACACACACACACACGCCTTTGAGCTTCTGTGCAGTTGCCGTATAGAATTAGAAATATATCATGTCTTTGTCTTTACTATCAGTGTCGGGGCTGCCTTTAGTTTTTGCTGCCTGTTTGTGTGTGTCTCTTTCTTGTGTCTATGTGCTTCTACAGGTTCTCCCCCGGGTTTGTCTGCAGTATTATTTTGCTCTTAGTGTTTGTTATTTTGTGTGTTTGTTTGCAGGTTCTCTTAGGAATCTCTTTCTTTTTTCTCCTCTCCTGTCCACCGGTCATGTTTGGTATTAGCCATATTACTTATGTAACAAAAATAAATAATAAAGCAGTATTGGATGATCATGGGAGGGTTCTCACCCTGACAGGCCTCCCTTAGCAAAGCAGAAGTTTTGGGCACAGCACGAAACTCAGATTAAAACTCTATTGCCATAATGCCAAACACGACAAGGGAGAAAAATAAATAAATAAAGGTCAGAACCAGACGCTCACCGGTGAGCTCGGCCATGATCTCCCTGACCGGCACGCCGCGGGTGAATGTGTATCCGTGCGCCCGGTAGGCCGTGATCAGGTGGTCAGACGGCGTGATGGCGGCCTCGATGCCGGCGGCGCACGCCTCCTGTGGGCGGAGCCTGAGCGTTAGCCACTTTAAGCGTTAGCACACGCTTAAAACAAACAGCGTAATTAATATACAATTAATTTTTTTTCCTCCACATCCAGAAAAAATGGGGGTTAATAAAAATAAATAAATCTTTTTTTTCATTAAATTTTTTTCTAAAAAGGTTGAAACTTTTTTTTTCAGGGGGGTAGGGGGGTAAAAAAAAAAATTTAAATTAATGAAAATTTCTTTTCCACTAAAGGGATGGGGAATTATTTTTATTATTATTTTTTTAAATAAATTACATAGTTTTCTTCAAATAAAAGGGGAGAATTTTAAAAAATGAATTAATTTCTTCACAAAAAAGGAGGGATGGGGAATACGTTTTTTTTTAATCAATTACATTGTTTTCTTCAAAATATAAAAAAGGGGAGAATTTTAAAAAATGAATTAAATATTTTTTATTCACAAAAAAGGAGGGATGGGGGAATAATATATATATTTTAAATAAACTGCATTGTTTTGTTCAAATAAAAAAAAGGAAAATAAAAAAAAAGATTTTTTTTACAAAAAGAGGAATAAAATGGAAAATTATATTAAAACATTGATGAAAGGCTGCTGAAGTTATAGTTTTTATGCCTTCAGACTTTTAGAAAAAGAAGAAAGCAATTCTGAACCCAAACCAAATCCATTTCCAGCTTCAAAGCCCTTTCTCTGTTCGTTTTTATCCCGGTGTCGGTCTGTGTGTGGCCCACCTGGCCGTCGTACAGGTGGCAGAAGCCGCGGATGATCTTCTGCTTGTAGAGCTGGTCGGCCTTCAGCTCCATGCGCCGCACCGTGTGCATGGTGCGGTAATACTGCAGGCCCTGCTCCCGGGTCAGCTCCGCCCGCAGGGGGGGGCCCTCCTCCAGCCCGTGCAGATCGCATTTCTGCAGGACACAGCAGACCCCCACCATCAGAGTCAGAACAGAATTTAAAATTCTACCCCTTTTTTTTTTATTTAAGAAAACTATGCAATTGTTGTTGTTTTGTTTTTTTTAACTTATTCCCCATCCCTCCTTTTTTGTGAAGAAAAATTTTATTTTTTTTAATTCTCCCTTTTTTTTCCTCTGTAGAAAACAATGTAATTGTTTAAAAAATAAAATAAAAAACTTATTCCCCATTCCTCCTTTTTTTAAAGAGAAAAAATTTTAATTCATTTTTTAAATTCTCCCTTTTTTTCCCTTTGAATAAAACAATGCAATTGATTTTAAATATATATATATTATTTCCCCATCCCTCCTTTTGTGAAGAATATTCAATTCATTTTTTTAAATTTTTTTTTTTTTTTAATCTCATCACAGAAAAAATACAAAAAGTCTTCATTTTTAATCCCCCCCGCCTCCCATTTCTTTTGGTTGTAGAATAAAAAAGTCACATGCTGGCGTTTACATACATGTACCGAGATAATTTGGAGCAGAATAATAATTCAAGTTTTCACCTCTCGAGAGACAATATTTGATTACTTTTGTTTTCTCTGAGATAAATATTAGCAGCAGTGAGTAGGTTTAATAACTACACTGTCACAGAACAGGTAGTTTTTCCTCAAATAAGAAGAATCTGTTTAAAGTTTTCTTTGTAATTTGGTTCTCAAGGTCCAAATCCCACCCAATTGCATTGTAATTACACAATAAGGACATAACAGGTTTTTAAAAAACAAAAAACAGTTTGGATTTCAAACAGTGTTTGACTTCATTATGAGGTCAAAAGTCAGAAGAGAGGCAGAAGTGTAAACCAGGGAGGAAGAGGTGGTTTTAGAGTGGAATGGAACTGGTTTCAGCTCACCTTGATGTCAAAGGTCACCTGAGGAGTGAAGTCAGCAAACGAGCGAGCCACGACCACCCGGCCGCCCTGGAAAACAAAAACAGCCCGATCAGAAAGAGCCCAGAGGACCAGAACCACTACAGACCAAACCCCACTGACCACCAGAGAAAGAATCATAACACTTTAATAATCCCAGAGGGAAAAGGAAGACTAAACTGGATATCTGGTGTTTTAGGAGAACCACAAAGAGAAAATCCTTCTAAAATATCTGATCTTTTTTCATCCAGCTGTAACGTCGTTTACATTGTTTAAATTCAATAATGAGTTCAAACACTGACAAAACACCAACTCACCACAAGAAATTTCTACTTTTTTCATTCAAATCTAAATTTTGTGTTCAGGCAGAAGAAAGCCACAGAGGGATTCAAACCTCTGACTCCCCCCAAACATGCAAAAAGACTCAGAACAGAGAGGAAACACTGGAGGATTTGGCTCATTTTTCCTCTTTATCTCGTAGGATTGTTGTAGGATGCATCAAACATCCAGGTGAGCACATGCACAGCCGTGCAGTCTGTCCCAGATGCTGACAGAAAGTCAGGAGGAGGAAAAGGAAGAAGACAGAAAT